GCCCGGCCTGTCTTTATCTAAGGGGTTTAGATAAGGCAAACAGGGGTAGAGATCCGGAAAGTGTAGTGCAGCGCGCCATGCCGAGCGCGGGGAGCGAGGCGACAGAAGCGCAGAGTGGCGCTTCCACCGAGAATCTGAGCCACTTGCCATGGCAACAGATACCCAAATTTGCCCCAGGCACAACCAATGTCGATGAGTACGTCTCTCGCATGAAATTCCTGAAGGAACTGTGGCCAGAAGAACAGCTCCATCTCTTGGGGCCAAGGGCAGCTTTGCAGGTGGAAGGGTCTGCTTTTCAGAAGATCAGCAGACTGTCTCCGGAGAAGCTCAGGCAGCCAGATGGAGTGAAGATTCTGGTGGAGACCTTAGGTGGATCCTGGGGTCGAACAGCCATGAAAGAGAAGTATCACTACTTCGAGCAAGCAATCTTTCAGGTGATGCAGCGAAATGATGAGACCAACGACTCCTATGTGTCCCGGCATGACGCCCACTTTGAGGAACTGCTGGCCTGCGGAGTTACCATCGAGCAGGTGTGAGCTTACGCGCTGCTTCGGCACTCACAACTGGCGCCGGACGATAAGAAGAGAGTGGTGGTCGAGTCCCAGGGGGACCTTAAGTACAACGAGACGGTGAAGGCCATCCGCCTCCTGGGCTCCAAGTTCTTCGGGGAGTTGCAGGCAAAGAACAGCACAAGTCAAGGACGCATGGCCGAGAGAAACCGAGTGTACGACGTGAACTTCACGGAAGAAGACGGCCAGGACGAGACCTACTACAGCGCCACGCAGGACGAAGAGCCAGACGACGAGGACCTTCTCTGCTACTTCTTGGAGCAGAACGACGCAGATGCCGTGTACCTCACTGAGTTTGAGGATTCGATTGTCGACGCGATCCAAGAGTCAGACCTTGCACCGGTGTACATTTCGTATCAAGAAGCAAGACAAAAGTTGCGTGACAAAGCGAAGGCCAGGGGATTTTGGGGTCCTTCCAAAGGCCGGGGCAAGAGCAAGCACTCTGGAAAGAAGGGCAAAGGCGGATCCACCTCGGCGAGCTCATCGTGGGGCATGGGCCGCAACAGGTCCCTAGCGGACAGGATCGCAAATAGTTCCTGCAGGTTGTGTGGGGCACGTGGACATTGGAAAAGGGAATGTCCTCGGCGCCAAGCAAGCGACGGACGTGAAGACCAGCGCAACG